ATATTTACAACCTTAAACGCATTTCCATTTTCTCTTAAATGTGAACACAATAGTAGGTGAGTAGTGTGGATTGAATGTGTGATAAACTGTGCTGCCAGCAAACCGGTGTTAAAACAAACGATGCTTTCGTCTTAAAAATAATTCTACGCAATTGGGAGGCAGAAGACTGAAATTTGGGTTGACTTTCTGCCAAGTTTTATGATGAAGCATATATAATTAGAAATGACTTTCACATATAAGCTGTCTGTTTTTCCGTATCTGTGAGGCGGTCACCTGGTCTAGTTCGATCATTTCAATTTCTCCGCTGTTGATTTCGTCTGAAGACGGATTGGTGTCAGCAACTTGAAAATCCCGAGTATAATTTGATTTTTCTGACGAGCTTTCCTTCTTCATATGCCATGGGGCATGCTTTCTGTTATCTTTTTTTACCATTCGCAAGTTGTCCAGACAATCCTAATCTGTGATTGATAATCAACGGATACGGAAACATGCAGCAGAAAGAGTGCGGTCGTTACCAAATATGTTGAGCAACATGCAATGTCTTATTACATTAACGAGAGCTCATCAGTTAGGCAATCTAGCGTACATGGGACGCTTAGCGAACAGGAGTTGGATCACCTGTGTAAACCACTCACTGTGCGGTCTTAGTAGCGTCTTACCTCATTTTTACGGTAAAATTGTACTCTTTTGTAATTGGAAAACGTGAAAATTGTGTGCAGGCTTAAGTATCGCGTGCATAAAGGCGTGGCTGATTTTATCTAATTACCCCGAAAACATGTTATGGGTATCGAAATGTGGGTCGCCTAGCAGGATTATCCAGTGTACTCTCAATCGCTTTTGCTCCTCTATTAGAAAGATGGACAAGAAGTACAAGTGTAACATAGCATATTGAAGGGTTGACAGAGTAACAGCATTCGCTAGGGGCCGGATGATAAAGCATAGTTTATACAAGCAATCGAGCCGAACTGCCGAAGTAAAATAATATTTTTGAATATCGAAAGTTGAAAATTTCGAAAGAAATTAATTGGAAGATGTTTCCAGGAACGTAGTCTCAGTACAAGTTTTAACCGCACTCTAAGTCGCAAGGGTATTCAGTTGTAACCTAATTTTTTCAACCGTTTCACTATCAGTTATGTTCCCCGATTGGAAAGGAATTGAAAAGGCTCGACTGTTTCAAGAGTGCACAACCAAATGGCCATCCCCAAATGAACTCACTAATTAATCGACCAATCACATTT